ATTACCAGCCATAGGTTCCAGAAGCTTTTTAAAAAAATTATTATCCAATTCTCATGCAAATTCTCCTCTCGGAAAATGGCTCTAAGGACTGCCCTTTTCTAAGATTCAATAAATCTGAAGACATGCCCAGTCATGAAAAGACAACACACCTTCACTTTCTTGCTTTCAAAGCCAAATAGTTGAGACTGAAGTCTTGCAGAAAGGAAATGCCTCTATCTCACATAGGTGAGTTTGAAACTTGGATAAACAGTGTTTGAAAATTCATAGGAGGTCCGATGTAGGGGATGACCAGACTAAACCTAAAGGTGGAGTCCAATGCGTCATCAGTTTGGAGTCACTGCTGTCCCACAAGAGATCTAAATCCAGCCGTGAATTCCGTTTGACTCTTATCTAGTGTCTATTTGTCTTGATCATTAGTAATTCAAATTCTTGTGTATAGGTAGTATCAAATAAATGCATAGTACTTTTGAACTCTATCCTGGCTCTTGGTTTCTTGCACCTGAAACCCAAATCAACAAGTAGGGCAGTGGTGAAATCCAAATTTTTTTACTACCAGTTCTGTGTGTGTGACTTGGTGAGCGTGGTGTGGCTTGGTAGGTGTGGCTTGGTGGGCATGTAAGGGGAAGGATACTGCAAAATCCCCATTCCCACCCCACACTGGGACAGCCAGATGTGGTATTTGCCGGTTCTCCGAACTGCTCAAATTTTCCACTACCGGTTCTCCAGAACCTGTCCGAACCTGCTGGATTTCACCTCTGAAGTAGGGGTACTCTTGCAGATGCCCTCAAACATTTAAAGGGCAATGAATCCAGTGATGTTCATACAAATTAGATCCCATAGTTGTTGTGTTTCTTTAGCCTTCCTTCATATAACTGGTGCAGGGAGTAGGGATAAAGTCTGAGAGCATCTAAGATATTGTTGTTGTTGTTAGTTGCAAAGTCATGTCTGACCCATTGCGACCCCATGGACAACATTCCTCCAGACCTTCTTGTCCTCTACCATCATCTGGAGTCCATTTAAGCTCATGCCTACTGCTTACTGCCTTGTCGTGGCGAAGGGGCTTGCGTAGCTCAATAAAGCTATGAGCTATGCCGTGCAGGGCCACCCAAGATGGACAGGTCATAGCAGAGAGTTCTGACAAAACGTGATCTAAGATATATGAACATGGAAATGTTTATGCTTATAAATTTGAGTGGTCTAATTCAAGCCCTTCCAGCCCTATGATCCTATGATTCCATCAAGCAATAAACAATGCTTAATCAAAGAACTATCAAGGAGAAAACATCACCTCACCAATACTGACAGGGAAAGCTATTTTATATAAACAGAATGCAAATTCCACTCCTTTCCAGCACTGCAGATGTCACCTAGCTGAGTAATAAAACATCTGCAGGAAAACAACCAAGCTCAGAGAGCATCAAGTCCTCCATAGAAGTAGTAATGATGGAGAGACAGTGGAATGGCTGGGTATGTACTAATAAATTTGATTTTAAAAGAATATCACAGAAGTAACAAACTAGTTAATTAGACCCACAAGATTGATGTGCTTAAATATATTGCACATTAGTGCTTCTGAAAGAGATGAATTATGACTTGCCATCTATCTGGTTCTGGAGTAGTGAAGTTTTCCCAAACTCTTCCAGATGCTGCTTTTGGAATTCCAAGCCAGCAATTTCAAAACAAATACCCTGTTTCCCCCCAAATAAGACATCCCCTGATAATAAGCACAATCGGGCTTTTGAGCACATGGCAATAAGGCCAAGTGCTTATTTCAGGGTTCAAAAAAATATAAGACAGGGTCTTATTTTTGGGGAAACACGGTAACTGCAATCCCAATATTTCTGGAGTACTCCTGGTTAGAACTCAAGAACTCAAAAGTTGAGGATCTTCCAACTGGGATCTTCCCCAGTTCTAGTCTTGCAACGGAACACAGAGCTGGGAAGATAATATAGCAGGTGGGCAGCAGGCACCAGTGCTGTCTATAACAAAGGCAAAGTGTATTCCAAGTGTATAAACCATTTCCTTAGATGGCTCACCTAGTGTAGCCACATGTCATCAATTCCAATCAGCAGTGTCATTTCAGCATTTCTACTTGGAGTACATGGGGTGTGGGTCTGTGGCTTTTTTGTATGCAAGCACTTTGACAATCTAAGCCAGGGGTGGGCAACTACCGGTATGGCTCCTTTACAACCTGTAGACTTCAATTCCCAGAATTCCTAAGCCAGGAGGCTGGCTCAGGAATTCTGAGAGTTGAAGTCCACAGATTATAAAGGGGCCATAGTTGCCAATCCCTGAGCTAAGCTTTCTTGGAATGCAGATTCAAAGTGCCGTAAATTTCTATGCATCATCTTCAGCAGACAACAAGGCACCAATTTGAGCGTAGACTTGAAAAAATGACATAGAAAAGTAACAATTTTATGTTATTTTCAATTATGAATTAACCACCAAGTTGTGCAATTGGAATATGATAGCTAGAAAACATCTATTATTTCCTAGATCAAAAGTTGAAATCCACACTACATGGTGCTTCTGGATTATTTTTCTTATAGCGGTATAAAATAAGAGCATAGCATCTTGTTGTATAAGACATAAAAGCATGTAAAAATAATTTTTCCTTGGGATAAAAAAATTAGTTGCCCTGGTTAGTCACTCTGGATGGATTTAAAGACTAGTCTCTTGAAACATCAGTCTTATACATTATGCTGTTACCTTGCAGTTTAACTTTTGGAGGTCAGATAACAACTGCTATTTTAATTTTTAATTTATTTTTGGCCTTTTTCTATTAAGGAAAATAAATAGAATTTAAGATTGGATTTGGCTTATCAGTCAGTCACAAGGATTTATTTTGGTCAGGCCTTAGCACTACTTTATATGTGACTAAAATGAGAGAATCAGTTTTGAAAAGAAAAATCCTTTTAGCTGATGAAAAAAAAAAAGGAAATTTAATTGGGTAATTCAATAATCTTCCTTGTTTTTAATGGTCTTGCTTCATGCCTATCTTTTCTTTAGAAGCCCTTTTATTTCTTTTGAGGAACTGGTCAAGAGGTAGATTTTTTTGATTTCACCACTGCTTTTCCACAATTGAGCCCAAAATTTCTGTTTCTAAGTGAGACATTTGTTAAGTGAGTTTTACAATCTTTCTTGCCACAGTTGTTAAATTAGTCACACGGTTGTTAAGTGAATTTGGCATCCCCACTGACTTTGCTTTGCATGCAAATGGTGTTTACATGATTCCAGGAGACTGCAATGGTCATAAATATGAGTCAGTTGCCACACATCTGAATTTTGATCATGTGACTGTGGGGATGCTGCAACAGTTGTACGTGTGAAAAAGTCACTTTTTTCAATGCCGTTGAACTGTTGTAAGTCGAGGACTGCCTGTAGTTCACTTGGAGGCCACCAGAATGCAGAGACTTTCCCTTTGAGGAGGAGACTGGGAACTGCAAATGTTGATTTCACAAGTTTTGTATCTGGCTGAAGCTTCATTATTTTGGAATCTCAATTGCCAAGAGCAACAGGAGATTGCACAAATATATTAGGAAATAATAAAAGACCTAAGTGAAATATCAGCTTTGTTCAGCCAATATAGCTACACATACAAAAAAAATGCTACATGGAATATTCTGAAGTATAATGGCACATCAGTGGTGTTTCAAAACCTCTGCAGATATTTCAGCTCATGGAAAGAGATTACATGAAGTACTTACCCAGCTGAAGACCATTGTATAGGCCAGTGATGGCTAACCTTTTCCGGATCAAGTGCACAAAGCGTGCACACACACACGAACCCACAAAATGCAATGCGCCCTCATCCCATCGCGGCTCCCTATATGCAAGCGTGGCCCTCCATGCATGCATGTGCAGCCCCCCTGCATGCATCCCACCCCCGCGCATGCACGGCAGAGACCCAAAGACCAGCTGGCTGATGGGAGGCGCGCCATAGGTTCGCTATCATGGGTATAGGCGATGTGATATATTTTGGCTTCACTTAGAGCAGTGTTTTTCAAACTTGATAACTTTAAGACTCCAAATCCTGGAATTCTTCATTATTTGTAGCTGTTGTCATTGTTGGGGGCAATATGCTGATTGTCAATGTAGATTGATAACATTAAGTTTTCCATTAGATGATTACATAATATAAACAGGTGACTTTTTGATATGATGGTATATTTATATCATCTCTTGGTGTTTGCTTTCAATATTGCCATACTTAATTTCTTTGCACAAATGAATAAAATGAAATGTGGTAGTGGTTATAGAATAGAATAGAATAGAATAGAATAGAATAGAATAGAATAGAATTCTTTATTGGCCAAGTGTGATTGGACACACAAGGAATTTGTCTTTGGTGCATATGCTCTCAGTGTACATAAAAAGACAATATACATTCGTTAAGAATCATAAGGTACAACACTTAATGATAGTCATAGGGTACAAACAAGCAAGCAATCAAATCATACTAGGAAACAGTATGTTGTAGTGTTGTAGTGGTAAGAGTTGTGTTAACAGTTGTAGTGTTAGGCATTAGAGATGAAAACTATCCAGATCCAATGAGTCCAAAACCCAAAGCTACCTGATCTTGCTAGATTTGAGTCATTGTTTATCCGTTCCCTACAGAGGAGGCAGGGTTTCATTTCTTACCAACCTGACTCCACCAAAAGCTACTTTCTGTAACTGGTTCAGGTATTTAACTTCTAAAGTCTTGGAACAATTCATGCCCGTTAGCCCCACTACCTTCCTATATATATATTTTTCTCTTTGGTATCCTTGATCAACTCCGAGAACTTTTGCGGCAACACAACTGGGCCAACAAGTGCCATCAAGTGGCTTGGCTGACAGAACCCAGAAGAAGTCCATACAATATACAAAATCACCTAGGATTAGTCAGAATGGTCCCGCTCCCTACCCAAAATAATGAAAGCAGTAAAAAGTATAGCTATACAAAGCCCTTATTGACGGAATAATAAAACAACCTGACAGTATCAGTTGAACAGCAGGTAGTCCATAAATATTTGTTTTTTAAAGTGCCAAAACTTCACAGCTATCCACTGCAAATTTCTTAAATCCTGAAGGCTATTAAAATGATGTATGACACAGCAAAATGCAATTCTTCAAAACACATTTCTTTGTTGCTAAAGCTTCAGACCTGAAATATAAGGACACAGAAGTCAGTGCTAGAAAATAAGCCAGAAAGGAAGACAAAAAAAAAAAAAAAAACCATCAAAGGTGCATAAAGCACAAAGAAGAATTTTTCATAGTGTACTAACTACATTACTCAACAGATTATTAATGAAAAGGGCCCTGGCTTTTAGCCTGCAGCAGTGTTAAGACTATCCCATCCTTACTAATCAGAGTAGTTTTGGAACTTTGAAGACCAGCAATCTAAGCTGCTTTACACTTGGCATCACAATTCTGCATGCAAAGCCAGGATGTGCTAAAAATAATCAGACAGTTTAGTTGATCTTCAGATACAAGACCGGGGTCAAAATTTGAAAGGTTCTGAGAAGGGGAAGATGATAAAGGCTTTGGAGGCTAAATCATATGTCGAACAGTTGAGGGAGCTAGATATGACTCTAGCCTATTGAAGAGAAGAATTGGGGAGACATGATAACTGTCTTCCACTACTTGAGGACAGAAGAGGGGATTGGCTTATTCTCTAAGGCAGGACAAGACATAATGGGTGGAAGCTTGTTAAAGAGAGATCTAAACTAGGAGAAATTTCCTGCTAGTGAATTAATCAATGGAATAGTTTGCCACCTGGGGTTGTGCTTGATCCATCATGGAGGTTTTCAAAAATAGACTGGACAACCATTTAACTGGGATGGTATAAGGCTCCCGCCTTGAGCAGGAGGTTGGACTAGAAGACCTCCGAAGTTCCTTCCAGTCCTATGATTCTATGGAAAGCTAAAATGCATATGAATGTATGTGTGGAATCTTCATATCATACCTTCTCTCACCTAATAGAGGAGGTATACAGATAGAATCTGGTTAGAAGGGAACCTAAAGTGAATTGTTAATTTGATGGTGATGTTACTTTGATGGTCTGTGCTGTCCTGGAAATCAGACTAAATTGCTTGAAAACTTCAACATGACTTTGGAGCAATATCTGGGCATTCTATGTTTCCACTGCTATAAATGCACCAGCAAATTTAGACTTCCTGACATTTTTAGGGTGACATTTCATTGCAAACTGTAGCATTTCAAAATAGAGTGATTTTTTAAAAAAAGGAAATAAGAAGCCTGACTTTCCCTTCCCAGAACATCCTGGCTTTAGTCACAATTTCCTGAGGTCCACCTGATAGATCCAATTCATAGTGGTCCTCCTGCATTAAATCTCACTTTGCAACATGGATTTTTGCTAACAATGCTTTAGTAAAACCCTTGCAGTGCTCTAGCTTTTATTTTTCTACTTTTTGACTGAAGACCTCCTTCCTTTTGTAGATGCTTTAAGTCATGTGAGGAAGATGACAGGTTTTCTTATTGAGTGGATGGCTCACACACTTTCTGAGAAGCATAAAAAGGAATCTCTCCATACCGCATACTTCCTTCTTCACCTCCAACCTTGTTAGCGCCTTTCAAGGATAATAGAATTTCCTATGCCTAATGGAAAAACTTGCCAGCAGAGAGCACACCTTAGAGAAAGCAGATAAACAAATTTGAGAAAGCAACACAAAAATCATATGGTTCTCTTATCTAGTTCCTTGAAAGTTAGGGAATGTCTGAGAGACACGGGTGTTTAGTGCAAGGTCTAAAGGTATGGGGTGTTTTATTATCAGATGCTTAAACAAGCTTGCATCTGTTTACAATTTAGCTGGGAGATCACTAAGACTGTAGGCCATGGGTGTCAAACTTATGGTGTCATGTTGCCATCATGTGATGTTTTTTCCATTTGTGGAGCTGGGGTGGGTGTGGCCTGCATGTGACGCATCCGGCCTATGGGCCGCCAGTTTGACGCCCTTGCTATAGGCCAAAACATCTCAGAAGACAAGGGCAAATCCCTTGTCTTGATTGCTAAGACAGCGTCCTTGTTGTGTCCATGTAGCCACCAGGTTTTCATTTTAACACAAAGACAGTTTTACCCTGACTATGAATGCAGGTCTAAAAGCTGCAGTGCAATGGAACAGATTGTCATGTGAACTTAATTCTTTTTCACTAGAAGCTGGATGGTCATCGTTTGGAGATGATGTAGGTAACTTGAATCAAACTGGGAATAGGACTTGATTACCTCGGAAATACATTTCAACTATACTGATTTCTTTTTAGAAATATGAAATATGTGAATTGAAGGAGACTTAAGTCTCACTTGTGTTCAGATATTGAAGGCTTTATAAAGAGAAGGAAGAAAGAGCTTATTTTACATAGCTGTTTTCCTCCAAATAAGTATACTGCCAGTAGAGGGGGAAATTGGAGAATGTGAACAGTGATTTCTTAGTAATTGTAAAGGGAATAACATAATATTGGTTACACTTTGTGTCTTCAAGACCTATTGATTTTTTAGTCTTTAAATTATGAACAGATTATTCAAAAGGCTTCTAAATGAAACCAGTTTATTAATTTGTTTCCTTTTATAAATTGCTTGAGAGAAATATTTATACCATATGCTAGCCCTCCCTCTCCATCTTTCAGTATTACATATTAGAAGAATATGACTTCGAACATGCCTGGCAGTGGTGTCCTCCAAATTTATATTTTTTGAGAGATCTGACTGTATACAACTGCATGGTTTCAGTTGTCAATAGAATTAAGAGCCATACAACTTCTTGCTTCAGATTGGCATTGAAATATATGACAAAATATGCATGTATTCCTGAAGCAGGAAAACGATTCAAATTCCGGATGCCTATTACATGATGGCTATGAACAGAATGGTTGATGATTCATGTTAGCTTTTGCTTATTGTCCCCAAGGGTCTGAATAAAGCAAGTACTTAACATGAGACATAACAGAAAACAGGGCACGTGGGATCATTTTAATTTGCTGGCTTATAAAACCTTAATAGCTTCAGCATATAGTAGCAGCTAGCTAATTGCTGCTTTTTCTAAGTAGGGCTGTTTCTTGGATGAGGAATTGCCTGGCAATTCCAGGCTGTTGATCAGACTGGAAAATGGGGGTGGACAGGCGAGAAACACAATTATTTTGGGGGAAAGCAGCAGCATCAACCTCTGTAGCACTGCATAAAAACAAAAACAAAACCGAACACCTGGCCACATAAAAGCAAAGCCAAATTAAGAATAATAATAAATACCTAAGGAAGGGCTCCATCAATCTGAAAGCTTGGAGGAAAATACCTCTGGGTCCCGGCAACCAACTCAGATTGGATCCTGCAACATTATCCTGGGACACATATATTTGTCTTCATTTGCCAAATAAAAAAGTTGATGTTCCCTAGAATTCAAAAGGACAAGATCTGTCCAAAGGAGGCTTATTTCCATGGCAGTCTTATTTGCTGGTCCTTATTTTGTAATATTTTGCAATTTGGTGATTTAGGTTTCTTGAGTTTTGTTTTTGAATAACTGCTGTCACTCCTCTTTTTTTTTTTAATGGGAAAAAATATAGTTGTTCTTTTGAATGAAGCACAAAAGATATTTACCGCTAAATTTCTTGTTTTCATATGCAAGGATTTATTTTTATATACTATTTCAGCTATTTGTTTATAAATTTGGAACTCATTCATGTGTTTTGTCCTTCACTTTTTTTTTAGTTTTATTTTTGTAAATTTTCATTCATAAACATTTTTGAAAAACAGTGCATTGTCAGAGCATCATTTACAAATAGAACAAAACCAAGGAGAGTTGGTTGTAAATCTTAGCACACAAACTAACAGCAATAGTAATAATCATAATATAATAGCAGCAATAATATAACCAAAACGTTTAAACTAGGTTTCTTCTTACATTAGCTTATTTACATTTTTATGTAAAAAAATGTATATACCTCTTTTTATATACCTCTTTACTTTCAATACTTATAATATTAACATTCATACTTACTTTCTCTAATTTCTACCTCTTTTCTCTATCCATTCATAAAATGTATTCCGTGTCTGATAGTATTCTGCACCTTCTTTATCTTTAATTTTTAAAGTTAGTCTGTCCATTTCAGCACAGTCCCAGATTTTCCTAATTACAACTTCGTCTGGTGGGATGTTCATATTTTTCCAGTATTTAGCATATGTAATCCTTGCTGCCGTCAGTATGTGTAAGTCCCTCACTTTTTGAGGGCAAAACATTTTAATTATATCAAATTAAGTTTCAGTTTGCATTAAGTGCTTGATAATCTGGTCTGCTGTAAGAACAATGGATACTTTAAGAAAAATGGCATAAAATTTGATATTGTAAATGATTTCTGTCTAATGACAACCAATATTGTAGCAAAGAACATGTTGAATTTATTACGTTGGCAGTAATGCTGCATGTGGAAATTTGTACCTGAAAAGCTAATATTTCCAGTCTATCAGCTGTTCTCTAGTATGACAAGTATCTCAATACAAAGTGTTGAATTATGCTTGGCTGAGAAATAAGAACTGAGAAAAAGAGTAAGAAGCAGTAGATTCAAGCGAGTGAATGAAGTATTTAGCTGTTTTGGAAAAGACTCCATTGTGTCAAAAGAAAATTATGAGAACAAGAACATAGAGCTAAGTTGGTATCAAACTTAATTAGGACAGCGGTGCTATTAATTATATTCAGTATTATCCTCAAAGGTATTTGAAAGCCCTCAACTAAATTTATGTCAAACCTGTCTGCTTCAAAAGGCTATCCCACTATATATTTTCTTAATATCAGGTCTCAGAAGGTAGCAGTACTTGACCAGCATTATCAGGGATCAAAACTAAGCATCTTCAAATGCATCTATGGGGCTGGGACATATGGGCAAATGACATATTTTTCATCATGATGTCAAATGATATATCATTTGTATTGTGATGTCACTGGTACAAATTATAACTCAAGTCATTTGTGAAATGTTATGATGTGTGTAAAATCATGATGGCTTTTACCAAATGACAATAAGTTTTATGCTTGGTCAGTACTTGAATGACTAACCACCAGGGAAATTCAGATCTTTAGACTAGACTTGAAAGTTGAAAAGCATCCTGTATTAAGACAATGAAAACCATTTCTGTACTGTTGACAATTAAATGGATGGTTGTGTCCATGTAGTTACCTTGAGTTAATTTTGACTTCAACTTTTCCTTATTAGTTCAGATTTGTTGGGACTCTTAATTCATTTATAATTTTCTTAGATCAAAGTCTTATTAGCTTTTTGAGTTTATTTCCAATTCTTTAAATTCTTAAACTTATAATTTTTATTTTGCTCAGGAATGAAGATAAATTCACCTGACCAAAAAACAAATCTTTTGTTCTGAAGACCTCTAATATCCTTAAGATATTTAAATAAGTAATTTCTGAAAGTGATTACTAAGTGAGGTTAGCAAACTTCACTGTCCTTTAAAAAGTTCCACTGTGACTGAGAGCATGATGGCTGATTTGTCTGTTGGCTCTCAACTGTGCAATGACCACATGCAATCTCCTCATGAAGAACAGTAGTCCAGAGCATATGTGAATAATCTCCTGTATTCTCCTTCTCTGGAGAGGTTCCATAGAATTGGTCAACTCATCAGTTCTTCAGTCTTTGCCATGGTCATTGTCTCTGCTCAGAGACATGCTAGGTTGCCATCCTCCAGCCAGAAGTCCAGTGATCAACCACATTTTAGCCTAATGTGTTATGTAAAGAATATCCACGTGGTTGCTTATAATTGGTGTGTTTTTTAAATACAGATGACTGAATTGAGAGAAACATGGGAAAAAGAGTATTATACAAACACAACCACGGAATTGCAGGGTTGCTGTATATGGGAGAAGGCACTTCAGGGATGGATAATATGGTGTTCTTCATATATTTCAGGTTACAATTCCTAACATAATCTTGATTGTTAATGGCAGAAATTAGGAGTTCAAAATCTCTTGAGCCACCAGATTTTATAACTAGCTTTATGGCATTTCAGCCTTATATCATTTAAGGCAAAGGTGGGCAAGCTGATCTCTGAGTGTTTGTCAGAAATAAATTCTGTGAATCTCTGGCTCCAAATAACTCACATGTTTCTCTTAAAGAGGCAAAGTTAAAATAATCAAGGCAGTGCAGAGTTTATATTTTCCTGTGTTACTTAGTATTCAATCACAAAGAATGTTCTATTAAAGTATGACTGTAATCTATAAAAGAGGGTAGGCTTAGTATATAGTTTGGGCCTTAAGAGAGCTAAAGTCCCCATACTAGCAAAATCTCCTAGTGTTACTTACGTGTATATTCAGCAGCTGATCCTAATCTTCATAAGAATCTCATGCATCTTTTCCAAAACATCCACTTTATTTTTAAAGTCTTTCAAATTAACCAAATCTGACTTTCTGCAACAACCTTTGTGCACATGTCTCCTAGTTAACATTATTTCAGTGTGTAAGAGAAATATTTTTCTCTTTACAAGTAATTCTTTATGTCTTTATTAATTCTTAGCAATTAATTTAGCAATATGTATAGGAAGGATTCAATGGTTCACAGCATTCAATACTGGAATCATTAGTCCTCTCTAGTGAATCAAGTGAAATTCATCATTTGTATTAGCAAGTGAAATACCAAATAATAGTAAACCCAGTTGGACTTCATCATGTCCTCACCAAGATCCTATAAAACCTTTAACAACTAGCTTCTTCATATACAATTTAGACCAGAGGTCCCCAAACCCTGGCCCACGACCGGGCTGTGGACTGTTCAGAACCAGGCTGCAGAAGCTCCACTGGGGGTGGGTGAGCAGGCAGCTTACACAAATGGAGCTGTGCACTCGCCTGACGCTCACACGGAACCATCCCCTCTCCTCCCCGCCATTCTACAAAGCCGGAAAAGTTGGGAGACCACTGATTTAGACAATTTCTCTCTATAATTCCCACACCCCATTTGTATCCATGCACCAAAACAATATCAAATTAGCTTTTGTTATGTCTCATAGAGTTCTTGGTGCTCTCCGAGCTTGGTTTTTTTTTTTGGAGACATTTCATTATCCATCTAGGTAACATCATCAATGCTAGAAGAGGGTGGGGTTTGCTCTCTCTGTATATACCGTGGCTTGCCCTTCAGTGTTGCTGGGAGTGCTGTTTTCTTCTTGTTAGTTCCTTGATTAGGCTGTTGTTTACTGCTTGATTGTCGGTCTGATATTAATCTTGATGTTAATCTCTGCTTATCTAGATGTTGATTGCTGGTGAAGAGGTCTTTTTGATCTTGTTTCCTTTTTTATTGTCTCTTTTGAATGGTATGTATGTTTATCTCTATGTACTTCTTGATGGCTGATCTGTCTGAGTGCCACATTTCTAGGAATTTTCTAATGTTTTTGGATTTAGTTTTATGTTTTATAAAACAAGTTTTCCAAGAATCAAAAAAGTCATCTTATTTTTATGTATAAAAGTATAAAATGCTCACTTTATAAATGGACTTTTTGGAATGAAATAAGCATAGAAAACTTCTTTGTGTAGAGTTTTGATAAAGCAATGTTTTCCCAAGAACGTGAACTTGATTTTATTATTAAAAGATACCAGCCTAGAAACTGGGAGATCGTGTGCTCTAGTTCCACTTCGGGCATGAAGGTAGCTGACTGATCTAGGCCAGTCCCTCATTCTCAGCCCTAAAAAATAGGCAATAGCAAACCACTTCCAAACTCTTGGCAAGAAAATGGCAGAGACTTTGCAAGCATTTCACAAAGAGCCAAGACTGATTCAAAGGTACGCATGCCACACACACAAATGAATAGGGGCAATTTTGCATCATGACATCACTGTCATTTTGCTGCAACCCTCATTTGCTGTGGATGTCTGTGAGTGTCCCCAGATATACAGTAATTAATTTCCATTTGCAATTTTCTCATGATTCCCAGTTGTTTGCCTTTCTCTTTGTTTCATCTTATCCCATAAGGATATCCATTCAGTGATTCAAGAATGGGGAATTGTACCTAATTGCAGCACAAAGAAACTGTGGCAACATTTTCCCATTCTTCTTCTTTATTTCTTTATTGGTTCGATTTATATGCCGCCCTTCTCCGGAGACTCAGGGCGGCTTACAATGCGTTAAGCAATAGCCTTCATACTTTTGTATATACCTGCTTAGTAGGGCTTTTGGGCCCCCCTAAGCAGTGTTCTTTATACAAACTCAGCTTATTGCCCCCACAATCCAGGTCCTCATTTTACCTACCTCGGAAGGATGGAAGGCCGAGTCAACCTTGAGCCTGGTGAGATTCGAACTTGCAGTAATTGCAGGCAGCTGGCAACTAAGTGCTATTTAACAGCGCTTTAGTCCGCTGCTCTTCTTCTGAGTCTCCATTTATTTTGCTTTCATCTGGTGTTCAGAGTGAGTGAGTTGCTTAAATACTACAAAACCCCCCCCCCCGGGACCATATAAACTCCGTTTGGCTTTGTCCCTCATTCCCTTGAAAAGAAGTCGTGAGTGCAAAGCCTAGAAACAGAGGCAGATTAAGGGGCCACCACACAGACAATAAACTTGATGCCAACATAGTTGTCTGTTGGCTCAAGGATGGATGGAGAGACGACTTCAACTCAGCAGTGAGGAAAAAAAGCCTACCCCGCACTAAAACCTCTCCCACTCGAAACTCCCCAATACACAATTATACTAATAACCTCACGTGGATCGTTGCCGGATTTAGTAAATGCACGAAACCCCGTCCGCTTAAAAATGCATTTCGCCGAATTACAAATTTTGACGACCGCCGATTACCCGTAGCGCCCTAAAAGACGGCATGTGCAGCTTCCTTTAGTTCCAAATGCAAGCGATTACAAACTCCGGATTTTGCAAATCTTTTATTCGTGACGATTTCGCCTTCCTTAAAAACAAAAAAAAACAAAAAAAAAACACGAAACAAAAAACTGCTCCGCGCAGCAAAACTACCGACCACCTTCAAAGACGACCAGATAAATCCGCTGTGCGAGAATTCTGACGGGCCAGAAGAATTTTCTGCAGCTTTAAATTATTTTGTCTGCTAGGCAATTTTTTAAAAAAAGAAAAAGAAAAAAAAAAAAAGAAAGAAAAATCCTGTGGCGCGCGCTCCCGAGTCCTTGAGCGCGCGCGCGCGCGCGCCGTTTCCAATCCAACCTATCCCGACTCGGCCGCTCCCTCCTCTCTCCATTCCAGCTTTCTTTCCCTTTCTTCCCTCCCAAAGGTTTCCCGCGCAAGGCGGCCTCCGCTTCGCCCGGCACCCGCAAAGGCAGCAAGAGCGAGGCCGAGCGCGCGCCTTGCCTTGCCAACCTTTCCTGAAGCCACGCAGACGGCCGGAGCGAGGCGGGGCTGGGGGGGGGGGGGGGGAGAGAGAGAGAGAGAGAGAGAGAGAGAGCAGCGGGCGCGACGATTGGCGGCGGGTGAGAAGAGGGGCCGACCCAAGCTGGTCCGGTGCAGTGGCCTTTCCTCGCCGCTACTGGGGCAACGGCGTCCCTTCGGCCCCCGGGAAGGACGCGCGGGCTCGGATAGGCGGAGGCTCGGCTAAAGAAAGGGAACCACAGCAAGCAAAGAAGCGGGCGGAGGAGTAGCCGCTGCCACCACCGCGTCTCTTCTCTCTCGCTCTCTCTCTCCCCGCTTCTCTTGCTTCCCCGCCGCTCCCCCTTTCCGAGCAAGTTGCTTCTCGGCCCCCGTTGCAGCTCGAAGGGGCAGCGGCCGGGCGGGTCCCTGACTCCCTGCTCCCTCCTTGCCTCCGCCTAACCTTTCCCGAGAAGATGCCGCCGCTGCCGCCGCCGCCGCGGCTGCTGTAGGGTGGCTTGCTTGGTTAACTCCTCCCCATGTTCTTGCCGCCGGCTTCGGTGGCTCTGCTTCGCAGGCCGGGTAGAGGATGCTGTCCTGCTCGGTGCGGGGCCGCGACCAGGGCATCGCCGGCCGTTTCCTTCCCTGCCATTCCGGCCCCCGGGGTTCTCCGTGCCGCAGTTGGTAGCTCCTTAGCCGAGCGATGACTTCAAAGCATCAGGCGGACTGGATCCCTTACAGGTACTTCCCAAGGCGCCAGAAATGGGCTATTCCTTCTCTTCCCCCACCTTCTCCCTGGGCGCGGTTTCGAAAGAGGCCGGGAAGGGTGCTTGTAGGCAACAGTGTCATCTTAAATAAGTTTTGTATTTAATGCTGGGGGGACACACAAACACACACGCGCACACACGCACCACCCTAATTAAATGAGAAGCTGTAAGTAAAGTGCTTTTGACATTCTTTTATAAGATTAAATAAACTGTACTTCTGGGAGGTGAGGAACAGAGAGAGCACCAGGCTGAGGGATAAACTAAGAAACAAGCCCTGCAGGAAAGGAGTTTTCATGAATGAAAGTGGCGAATAAATAGAAGTAGTTTGTTTCATTTGGGAGGAGATGTGGCCATTGCATTTTTGAAACGGCATCCTTTTAAAACACCAACAATTAACACCCTGGAGATGTCTGGAACTATTTTTAATCTCTATTGTACATCACAGTCCCTTGGAAGGGCTGGAAATCTTTGTTTTTTTTGAACTGACATGCGCAGCCAGTTCCTATTATTGCTTTTGTGTGTTTGCTACAGGGTGATTCTTTGGTGATGTGTTCTAGATTTATTTCAGTGGGTCAGATCGTGATGGGGTATTCTCATATGCTGTTACTGTCCCACTTTCTCTTCAGATAGTAATAAGAGTGAATATGTATCAAGGCCACTGTGCTAGCTCATTCTGCTCCATTATTATTTGCATCCATTCTTTTTTTTCATACTTCTTCCCCTCATTTATCTGCAAAAGTTTATGGCATCTAAGATAATTTCCAAGATCATTGCAATACGCATGACACCTGTGAAATTTCCTTTTCTTTAATTTAAATGTTACTTGCTGCCCTCAGGAACAGAGGACTTTTGTGGGTCAACATTGATGGTATTTCAAGATCCTTGATGGGTTGACAACTGCCTTGTATTTGACATTCAGTTCTGTTCTTCACAGATTTCTCCGAAGCTAATTTCCAAATTTAAATTCTTTCTGTATAGGAAATTGATGAACCCAAGGATAATTTGTTACAGGCGGTAAATGCATAGATCCCTTCTCATAAACAGATCATATATAAAAATGCATACAGCTTTCATGCAGTTACTTACAAATAATTATTTAGGTGTGAAGTATTTCAAACAAAACTTGTGGTATAGAATCAAATTCCAGAATAGATTGACATCTATTCTTCCTTGGAATTTATCTGAGGAATCTTGTTTTCTATGCTGGATCCCCCCCCCCATTACCTTTAGGTTAAGAGGATCAGAAACAATTATCTTATCAAATAAAATATAAATTTAAATAAAGCAAAAATTAAAAGGGCTTTCTTTAGAGATAAGCAATTATAATCCCCCCTCTTAATCCAGTGTTTGTTGATTTGGGAATGAGTAAACAAGTAGATTTTACATAGGATACCTCAATTCTTCCTCTCTCTCCACTGAATTGTTTTGCTTGTACTCCTACCTTTCTATATAATATTGGCAGTCAAATACTTCTGCCACCATTCTTGCTGTCTTTGTGACGAGCAGGAATTGCCATGGCAGCATCAGCTGCTGTTGTCGGTAATTGGTTCCTTGGTTGCTATAAGCTACCAAAGCCTCGGCTAGTTCTCTTTCTGAGAAAGCATATATGCATGCCTCAGAAATAAGTGAAGAACAGTGCTTGACACAGAGGGCTAAATCCCCTTGCTTATAATGCCTCCTGACGAGGCAAGGAAAAGAACCCTAATTGATTGGAAACTCAGAATTGCTGTAACAAAAAAGTTGACAAGAGAAAGTGGATTTCTGTTCATACCAGAAATTCAGTAGATGTTTGGGAGCATGTAAAACATTCAAAACTTGATAGAAATAAAATAACTTTATTAATTTAGGCAACATTATCTGTCCCAACTTTACATTCATAATGCTAACTATAGTATGATCACTATCTATGCTCATTGATAAGAGCCAATTGGGGGTACTTTTTCCCCTAAACTGGTGCTTTCTACAACTTGCTGAATGAGAGTGGTCAACATCTGGTTTGCAGGCTCTCTGCACTTTTCAGCCAAGTTTTATGGCCTTTGGAAAACAGCTAGATTGCACTGTTACATTTCTAACTCAAAAGAGAACACTGAATTTTATTTCCTATAATATATGTATGATGGAACTTCATACATGGAGCTTTTTTTAAAAAAATCACATTTGTCAATAAATTATATCTGTTCTAGACATATAATAGCATTTTTCTTCTGATGGTATCTCTTAATATTGCTAAAATATTTCCCTAGATTTTCTTTTATGGAGACATTTTTTTAAAATGTAGCAACTAGAGTAACAACTGTTCATTAGGCACAAACTAAAACTAGCCCCAGTGGCATTTTGGAAAATTGGTCAAAAATGCAACTATTAAATTATCAGTTAGTGTTAGCTGCCAGCCCTCATGCAGGAAGAATTTCACAATTATCAGCCAATGTTCAAATTTGTGACAAGTTTCTGCTTTTTCTTTTTAAAGCCTAACTCAGCGTTAGATTATTATTTGATGGAATGTTATTCAGTGATTGTGTTCACACATTATACTTAACCAGATCAGTTAAAAATCATTAAAATGCTTCATTTTAACCTGCAGTTGTTTGTGGTTGTTGCTGTTTTATGCTTTCTTATTATGTGTGCTGCTGTTCTGATTAATTTTTAATATTCTTCCTTATTGTGAAAACATGCTTGAATTAAAGAAAATATGAGCTAAATAAGCAATGATAGAAAGTAAATATATTCTAAATTAGATTTGTTCTGTGGCTGAATAGTTCATCGTTAATTTTTTATTACTGTAATGGCTCCTTTGTTAGAAGTACCTAGAGATGTAATTTTTACTTGTAACTGATTTTCTTGCTCTGAGGTACATGTAACATTTTTAAAGGGTGAATCACAATTATTAACACTTTTTTTTCTCATGAGGAATTTAAAATAGCACATAGTTGCTTGCACAGAGAATGCATTATTTCAAATTTTATGTGTATGGTTGTAGCCATTCTAGTCAGTGTTTTTATCTCCCACAGAGAAAGAATGCACTCTGTATGCAAAGTGAGAAATCAGATCTCAGCATGGAGTGAAAATAAACTGTATACAATATTTTGGAAGCAAAGATTGTAGCATGCTGTATTTTTAAAAGAGAGGGGCAATTTCAGTTCTAAAACAGAAGGCTGAGGACATGGTCAGATGGTGAACGATGCAACAGCATTTCTGAAACCAATAAGGTATTAACTGATTGAGTTGAATAGAATATCAGCTAGAACTTCTGTATACTGACAACACTTTGAATTGTGTGGAAAAAAAGGTTTTACATAAATACCTCTGTTACCTGATGGTTTAACAGTAGCTACACTATAAGAATACTGTACTAAGAATACAGTAGCACTGAAAATATTTTTCAGGAAATGCAGATCAGTTAGAAAACAAAATATATTGAGGCCCTAGAAAGAGTACAAGGAGGGCAACACTGTAGGATAAACAGTTGACAGAACTAGATGTGTCTAGCCTAATGAAGGGAAGGACTAGGGAGTGAAATGATAGTAGTCTTACATCATTTAAGGGGCTATCATAGAGAAGAGGGAGTCAACTTATTCTCCAAAGCACCTGAGGGCATTAAAGAGAGATCTAACCTAGAACTAAGGGGAAATTTCCTGACAGTGAAAACAATGAGTGGAACGATTTGCCTCCAGAAGTTGGAGGAGGTCCATCACTGGAGGTTTTTAAGAAGAGATTGGACAACCACTTGTCTGGAATGGTATATGGTCTTCTGCTTGAGCAGGAGATTGAACTAGAAGACTTCCAAGGTCCCATCCAATCTTGTTATTCGATGTTCTATGAACTCAAACCTATGTTCATCCTGAAGATTTGCAGAAAGATAGTAGCAAGAGAGAAATAACTGCCTATGCTATCACTTTAGCAGCCACAATTTTATAGAAGGCTTTATATGAATAAAGAAGGTAATAAATGTTTATCATTTCCCTTCAAGGCATCCTTTTTCTGTTCCCTGTTTTGCGTGCTTGAAAAACATAATGTAGTTGTTTTATTATTATTTTTTCATATGTAAAATTATTGTCTAGCACCAAGAATCAGGACCACTGTGCTGTCCTGCTCATTCACATATAACAGTGGTTTAGCGGGTTTAATATTCCCCAGCAATACCCTTCACCAAAAACTCAGAACTGTTCCAATTAAGTCCAGCCAAAGACAGACTAATGCTAGTCCACAGAGCAATGGCCAGTGAGTTCAGAAAGCACTTGAAAGTTTCCCAAACAAGATAAACCCACAAGTCAAAATTAAACCCACAATATAAGAGGGTTTGCAAGGCACAATCCAAGTCAAGGCAGAGTGTCATCCAAAGCAAGGCAAGGGTCACAACAACCAGGAAAAACATATCTACCCCGAAAATAAGACATCCCCTGATAATAAGCCCAATCGGGCTTTTGAGCGCATGCGCTAAAATAAGCCCCTCCCCCTCAAAATAAGCTCTCCCCCAAAATATTTAAATGCATGTGCAGCCGGTCCCTGCCATTTCATCTGGTTTCCTCCACGTGCCCCAAAATAATAAGACTTCCCCGAAAATAAGGCCTAGCACTTATTTTGGGGTTCAAAAAAATATAAGACAGGGTCTTATTTTCGGGGAAACACGGTAGGAAATGAATACATTGTTCCCAGCATTATCTCCATCTGTCTTCTGTGCTAAATAGCCAGTTTCCAGTGCGGCCCATCAAGAGGGGTGAGTTTGCCTCCTCTCAAGTAATCAGGTTGACTTTAGCTGTTCCTGCCTTTTCTCTGCCCAAAGTTTTCTTAGATCAGGAGCAAGAAGGCAGTTCCTCTTCCTCATCATGCTTTCCTCACCTGAAGCCTCAGGGCTGTCCTACTGCAACTGTGCTTCAGCCAAATTCCTTTCAGACGGTTGCTCGGAGCCATTGCCCAACTCCCCTCTTGATATGCCTGGAGCTGGTTCATCCTCCTCTGAACTGATAATTGTAATGT